GAAACATAAACCGACTACAACACAATGTTAACTAATACGTACTGAATGGCCATGAAAAATAATAAGGCAGTGTCGATAACGCTGAGTTATTTATAAGCATATCTAAATATACCTACTTCTGACGATTACGGATCGGCGGCGGCCGTCAGCGCTCCACTACTAATGCCGATCCGTGATCGGCAGCGGCGGTGAACATGTTAATTTTGAGGTCACAATAAAAAATAGTTTTAGAACTACTGTGTTAGATTCTTAGATCAAAATATTCCAACTATATATTATTATTTTTTTTTTTCGTAAATGTACTTTACAATAATTTTTTTTTTCAAATTTTAATTTATAACTGATATAACTATGTAAATTGTTGTCAAAATGAAAGCAGGTATAGTAAATCCAAAGTACACCATTGCCACGGATGATACTAGCCTAAATAATAAATATTCAAATAATACTGGTACACACGTACTGGGACCGTGGGATCACATTTTCTGACAATAATTGGGTAGAACATCAGTAACCAACAATTTTTCAAGTATCCGACGGTTTGGCAAGTCACCGCCAGTGCTAAATTTTGGTCTAATCATGTGGCTTTAGAATTGATAGGAATTTTATGTACGACTTATTTAAGATTATATTTATATAATACTAATAATAGACATAATTTATTATTTTTGTGTATAGATTATAAGCATAGCTATTTTTTTTTTCGTATCATACAACCACAATTAGATAAGTATAAACAAATGGTAATAAATCATAATTTGATAAGTCAAAATAAATAAATAAAATATATACAATTCAGAGTCAATATGGATATAAATAATAAAAAATAATAAAATACATAAATTGGTTAACAGATATAATTAGAAATATTGATATAATTAATTGTAATTTATGGTAACATAGTTGACAGAGTTTGTATGTTTGTTTTAGTTTAGATTACCCTTCACCAGAATCTTGATAAACTTCGATAGCATTTGGAGTTGCAGACAATAGATCTTCTTTCCTATAGGCAGCTTTGGCAGTTCAGTAGGTGTTTCATATTTTGTTCCATGCCACACTCGCATTTTGTTGAAGTGTATTGAAGGATACTCCATTTCATTAGATTGTTTTTAGATTTGCCCACTCCAACTCTAAGTCTATTAAGGGATCTCCAGGTTGGCCAGTCTAATTCGTGTCCTGCTGGCAGTTGTTTCGCTAGTTCGAACTCAAGTTTATTGTTATAATTGGAGAAAGAATGTTTCCACCTTTTTCTTCATTCCTCTTCAGGGTGATTATTTAGAAGTTTTGTCGTTATTAGAAAACTCTTTCAGGATTTAAGTCTGAAATTAGGTGTATTTTGGCTATGTAGTGGGTATCGTATGTCAGTTTCTGCTTTGGTTCTTTCCCAGTCTGCTATGACCTCCCGGCGGATGTTAAGGGGACTATATCAGCAAGTTGGTAAATTTTAGGAAGTGGAGTATTCTTAAGACAACCTGTTACTAAACGGCAGGATTCATTCCCAATGGTATCTATTTGTTTTGTGTGGACGGACCTCCTCCACACGGGACCGTTATTTAACCCGCGTTATGTGTTTCTAAGTATATTATTGTAACATACTACAACATAACAGTTTAAGCAAATGAAATGGTTTTTAAGAAACTACTTAAAAGTAAAAAATTCTTATTAATCTTTCTTTTTTTGGTTTACGGTCATTGAAACCATACCGCCAAACAAATTTCTCTCCATCTATCCCTATTTTCTGCTGCTACTCTCCATGGTATCTCTGGTTCAATGCTTTCCGTGTCTCTTTTTACACAGTCTTCCCAACATAAGCGTGGTCTTTTGAGGGGTCTCTTACCAACCGGGTTCTCTTCGATTGTTGTTCTGGCTGTGGATCCTACTCTCCACCATGCATGTCCTGCCCAGGTTAATCTCCTTTTCTTGATTTCGTTCGCGATGTTCGGTCTCTGGAATAGCTCCTCGAGTTCTTTATTATGACATTTACGCCATTCACCTATGTTTGTGTCCAAGCATGGGCCATAGATTTTCCGTAGGATTCTCCTTTCAAATACTTTTATTCTGGTTTCTTCTGCTTTCCTAAGTGGTTATGTTTCCGCGGTATACAGTACTATGGGTCGTATCAGAGTCATGTACATTTGTATGTTCAGGTTAGTCGATAATTTTCCTGAGCTCAGTACTTTTCCAAGACCAAAAAAACTTTTGTTGCCTTTTTGTATCCTAGCACTGACTTCCATCTTCAGGTCATTATCTTGTGTTAGCAAGTGCCCCAAGTACTTGAAATGTGTGACTCTTTTGAATACACGCTCTTCTACATTCATAGATTGACCTTGTTGATATTCTCTGTCCTGGTGACTGAATATCATGTACTCTGTTTTATCTCCAGTCCAACCTTACTAGCCATCATGATGAATTTCCTGCATACTTTTTAACCGTTTCTTCAGTTTCTCCTAATATGGCTATATCGTCGGCATAAGCCAAGATATGTATGTTCGAGTTTCCCAATACTATTCCATTGTTACAATTCGTTTCTCTAATTACCTTTTCTAACATAAGGTTGAACAATATTGGTGATAGTGCATCCCCTTGTCTTAGCCCTGTCTTTACCGTTGCTGGCTCTGACAATTCCGATGCTACCTTTATTTTGATTTCTGTATTTTGCAGAGTGGCCTCAATTAATTTTATTAGTTTATTTGGTAACTCAAACTCTTTTAATATGTTTATAAGGCTATGTCGGTGGACGGAATCGTATGCTTTTTTGAAATCCACAAATAGTATACAAATGC